GTTGTTTACTAGTAGGACAAGAAAGATGGTGATTTGAGAGAGGGATCCAGGCTTCAGCCCGTAAAACTTTCTCAGGTAAGTGCAGTAATTAAAATTTCTTCTGCCTCCCTCCTGTTTTGCAGCTGGTATGTACTGCTCAGCTAGTCTTTTTGATATGACTTGCATATTGCCCAATGCCTATTTTAGTGACCAGTATTCTTCGTGGCTGTTGACTTCTGTCTTGTCACTTGAGGGACTGTAGTGCTTGAGACTTCTTGTTCTCTGATATTTCACTGTTAGCAATGCTTTCTGCTAGAGAGATGCCAGCAGGTTGTTTGTGTACAAGTGTCACTACACAGCACTAATAGTGTCAGGGAAACATCTGTTTTTCAGTTTCATTTTACTGAAGTTACATGTCTGACTGCTCCTGCACACTTTGTTTTCCTCACTGTGAGAATCATCCTGCTGGAATATGGAAGAAAAAAAAAATCTTTACGTGAAAGGAGAAGGATTATGTGACTTGGAAACAACATAAATGTTTGGGGAGGCTTTTGTAATATGCTTCTTAAAACACTGGCTAATATGAAAGCTGATCACGTGCAACAGAGCACACTGACCTCTAGAGCACTGTCATGGTTCAAAACAGGTGATGCAAATCCTTGATCTTCTTAACTGTAACTTTTGAGGAGCTGTGATTTTCAGAAGTGAAAACAGGTAATAAAAAGCAGGTCCTGCTGCTTACTTTGATGGCTGAGTGTGAATAGAAAGTACTTGCAGATTTCTGGTGAAAAAGCCTGAAGGTGTGTGCTTATGTATTTGGTATCTTCTGAAAAAGCCCTGCATTGTAACTTGCAAGGAGCTGGAGAGCAGAGCAGGCCAGAGATGTTGTGACAGAAAGGATAGAAAATGGCTGCAGATGAGGCAGCAGACAGTTATGTACAGGAATTTTAATTCCCAAATGAATAAAATATGTTGAGCCAAGAAGAATGATAAACTTTAAAAAGTAAAGTTTGAGTGCATCCTGAGAAAGACGGAGGTGGGCAAGAATGCCAGGGAGCCTCTGTGGTTCAACAAGGAGCTCTTGGACTTGTTTGTGCGCAAAAAGAAATTCTGTAGGGAGTGGAAGCAGGAAGGGGCTACCTGGGAGGAATGTAAAAAAGTTGTCCAAGCATCCAGGGATCAGGTTAGGAAAGCTAAAACCCAGATAGAATTACATCTAGCCAGGCACATAAAGAGGATCAAGAAGAAATTCTACAGGAAATTCTACAATTACAAAAGGAAGACTAGGGGAGATATGGGCCCTCTGTGGAAGGAAGCTGGAGACTTAGTCATAAGGGATACAGAGAAAGCTGAGATGCTCAGTGATTTATTTGCCTCTTTGCAAAGGCTCTAACCAAACCGCCCAGGTTGCAGAAAGCAAAAATAAGAACTGGGAGAAGGAAGTTCGGCCCTCTGTAAGTGAGATCAGGTTTGAAACTATCTAAACAACCTTAAAGTGCACAAGTCTATGGAACCCAACAAGATCCATCCATGGGTTCTGAGGGAACTGATGGAAAAAGTTGCCAAGCTGCTGTTCATCATATTTGAAAGATCATGGCAGTCTGGTATAGTTCCCTCTGACTGGAAAAGGGGAAACTTTCTTTTCAATATGCCTCTGTGCCTGGCACAACCACAGAGCAGATCCTCCTGAGGACCCTACTAAGGCACATGGAAAATAAAGATGAAGTGACTGGTGGTAACCAACCAAGGGCAAATCATGCCTGACAAACTTAGTGGCCTTTTATAATAGAATTACAGAGTCAGCGCATAAAGGAAGAGTAACGATGTCATCTACCTGAACTTGACACTCCCACATGACATCCTAGTTGCCAAATTGGAGAAGAATGGCTGTGATGGATGAACCACTCACTGGATAAGGAATTGCCCGGATGGTTGCACTCAAAGAGTTGCAGTCAACAACACAATATCCAGGTGGAGACTGGTGATGATTAATGTTCCTTAGAGATTGGTGCTGGGTCCGTTGCTCTTTAACATCTTTGTAAGTGACATGGATAGGGATCGAGTGCACCCTCAGCGAGTTTGCAGACAAAACGGAGCTGAATGGTGCAGTTGACACTTTAGATGGAAGGGATGCCATCCAGAGGGACCTGGACAGGCTTGAGAGGTGGGCCCATGCCAACCTCATGAAGTTCAGAAAGGTCAAGTGCAAGGATTTGAAGCTGGATTGGAACAGTCACGAGCATAGATAAAGGCTGGGTAGAGAATGGCTTGAGAGCAGCCCTCAGGAGAAGGATTTGGGGTTGTTTGATGAAGGATTCAACATGAGCTGGCAATGGGCACTGGCAGCCCAGAAGGCCAACTGTGTCCTGGGTGGCATCAAGCATGATCAGCAGGTTGAGGGAGGTGATTCTGCCCTTCTGCTCTTGTGAGATCTCACCTGGAGTATTATGTCCATTTCTGGGAACCCCAACAGAAGAGGGACCTTACAGTCCCTGCTAGCCTACTAGTACCTGAAGAGGGCTAGGGAGGGACTTTTTATAACTGGTTAGGGGATATATAACAGGATAAGGGGAAACAGTTTTAAACTTGAAGTGGATAGATTTAGACTAGGTATTAGGACAACATTCTTTGTGAGGGTGGGGAGACACTGGAACAGGTTGCCCAGAGAAGCTGTGGGTGCTCCCTCCCTGGAAACATTCAAGGCCAGGCTGGATGGGGCTGTGAGCAGCCTGGTCTGGAGGGAGATGTCCCTGCCTATAGCAGGGGTTGGAACTGAATGCTTTTAAGGGTCCCTTCCAACCTAAACCATTCTATTATAAAATAAAACAAACAAGTATATTTAAGTATAAATTATTTTTCTGCTGAGCTAATTTTATTTTCTTAGTTGCATACGAATTGCACTGATTAAACCCTAGATGCTTTAAGTGTTAATCTGTGTAGATTTCAGTACATGCATTTTAATGTCTTCTTTTGACTTGAATGAAACCTTCTGAACAGAGTATTTTCTTTGTTTTTTTTTTTTTAATCTGTACAATTTCCAAATAAGTATTTTTAATTCATGCTAAAATAGCTCAACATTGTGCTTTGGGCTACTTATTGTTTGTTAAGTTCTAGTGCTCTGCTTAGTGTAAAAACAAATGTAAAGATCATTGCTCCCTAGAAGCGTGTCAAACTTAGTATGCAAACAGGAAATTGTAGGATTTTTATTGTCATTTTGAAAATTAGTGGCTTTGTGCATGTGGGAGAGGTGGTAATTTCAGAGGAACTTGATTGAAGGGAAGAGATGTTTGAAACTTGGTGGGTGTATGGGGTAGGAAGACAGGCAGGATATGTCTTATGGACAAAAAAAAATGAAGATGGGAACTAAGTGAGTATATAAAAAGGTTGCTGAGGCTGATACACTAATAGAACAGAAACTGAGTAGGAACATGGGAAAAAGATCCATGAAATATTTACATATTTGATGTTAGTGTTCAAATACCATATGGTGTGTACAGAAGAATGTTGGTAGGGACAGGGCTGTGGTGGACCTGCATTTAAAATGATGTGCGCTGCTTAAGAACGGAACAATTTTGAGAATACTTTTCCCTCTTCTCTGGCATTTATTTCAGCTAGTTCTGCTCTTGATTTTCTCATTTTTCAGCTGCTATTTCTCTATTTCTCTACTGTTAAAATAGTTCTAATTACAAGTCTTACTCTGCTAGCAAGTCACAATATGTATTACTATTTTTCTTTGTTACGATTTTCCTAGCATTCAGACTCATAGCTGCTGTAGATGCCAGAGCCTTCTGACATATGTCTGGGAAGCATGATGTGAATTTTATAGCCCCTCCATTACCCGTGGCTGGAGGTTGGGAAGTGGTGATGGTGTGTGTTTTGTTTTCATGCTGAAGTCTGCAGAAGCCTGTCTGGCCTCATTAGCTAATTCTTTCACTTCTGTTTTTGTAGGCTTCAAATACTGACTTTGTCTTTGCTTTCAATGAGGGAGGCGAACTGCTTCAGCTGGACTGTTCTCAGATATTTTGACAATTTTGTAAATGCTTCATGTGTGAATTTCCTGTCTGTGTGCTCTTGACATGAAACTGAAATTTATCTGTTCAAACATTAGCGTTCTATTTAATTGCAAAACATTATAACGTTGCATCCATGTAAGCAAACATAACCTTGTAAAATTTTCTTGTAAAAGAGGAACAGTACGTAATACTGTTTACAAAGTACATTTGGTTTTTTAAAAGTAGTCGGATGTCTAAGACATTTTTTAAATTCTTCAAAACTGTATCGCTAAGTCCATAGTCAGATTAGTGGAAAGCTACTGATTATTCTTTTAAGAACAACAGTAAAATAGTCATATAAATAGAAATATTAAACTTTTAAACAGTACCTTGCGAAGTATTGTAAGAAAATCTCACGCAGGAACATAAAACTGCACCAACCTAACCCTGGTTATTCACATCTGGGAGCAGAAAAGGATGATCCTTTTACTCAATTCCAGCTCACCTGATTGTTCAGATTGGTGCCAACGAAGAAAAATTACACTGACTGCTGACAGAGATGAGGAATGTTTGATGGAGACTCAGTTCACCCATATGAGTTTCATTCCTTGTCAGCAAGATTTTGCAGAAATAATTACATATTGCATCCAAAACTGTTACCTATATTCGTGGCTGTCAACGAGTAGAAATGCGGTCGCAAAAGCAAATCGATTATCCGCTAACAGCTGAATGGGACCGTATGCGTAATCAGAAGGCATTTACCTCATATCCCATTGATGCACCATGTAATAAATGTGACGTTAGGGCTTTTTGTCTTATCTCTCTCTTCCTGCATGTCCATAAAAGTGTTTCTCACTTGTAACAGATGGTCAGAGCACAGCTTGGAAATTTATCTGCAGATGAAGCCCTGTTGATTCCATTAAAAGTGAAGAGTTTTCATGCAGATGGAGACAAGGAGGGATTTATTGTTTTTACAGTTCCAGTGATGAGATGTTTCATACAATGCCTTCCTTTCCTTTTTGCTTACAGGTGATGTGCCTTCAGGATTTCTTTGGTGATGATGACATTTTTATTGCATGTGGACCGGAAAAGTTCCGTTACCAGGATGATTTCTTGCTGGATGAAAGTGGTAAGAGGATGTATCTTAAAAACTTTTACAACCAGAGTAAAAGAGTGCTTTTTGTATCATGCTAACTAAGCCAAAATTGAATCACCTATTTTGATTTCATAAAGATAATAAATTTTTTTTTTCTTTGAATTCCAAATACTTGAAAATGAGAGGTAACTGAAAGCAACTTTAAAGCTACCAAAGCTGCTCATGCAACCTAAAGGAAATACTAATTCCTGTACTAACTCCTATTTCACAAAGTCTTTCTCACTATTTTTGTATTTACTGTACTTCGTCACAGTTGCTCAACTCACAGTTCTAATAATTGAGATTTAGGTAGTGCTTCACAGGTAGTGTATGAAAGATAAATGTAATTAGCAAATGTAGATGAAGTCATCTGAGAAAATTCTGGGAATTCTGTGTTTCTCAGAGACTGGCTGTAAGAATGACTCATTTGATATACATAATCCTTTAAGTAAAATACACTTTATTTGCAGCTTTGTTATAAACACTATTCATAAGTTATGAATGGCAATAGTAAGAAAAGAAAATCTAAGCTTTTTGCGTTTGAAAACAGCTGCCATTTAACTTGAGTTTGTTTTTTGTATAGAACAAGACCCAGTAAAGGTTTTAATTTCCCTGTTCTTTCTCAGGCTTGAGAAAGTCTGTAATGAACTGTTACCAAATTCTCTTTTTTTTTTTTTAATGAAATATCAAAGGCTTCAAAGAAAAGTTGACTTGAATCAGAAAAAAGATTGTTATAACAGTAGCTGCTTCATAGCCATCCTGCCTCGAGGTGGAAGGCTACACGGTTTGGCTGCATCCAAGCAAATGTTCTGTTAACTTGTGTAGGAGCGAAAGGAGCCAGCTTGTGCACACCTCGTGTTTGAGCATATAGTGCCTGAAAAAGCAGGTATCTTTGCTACTGAAGGAAAGGACATTTTTTATCAGTCACAGGCAGAAGCAGACACACGTCTCATATTTCTCTGGGTGAGTCCTAGAGAACTTTACAATAAAGACAAAACAAACAGTGCACCAGGTTTGCTCTTTAAAATAATGAAATTGCTGTTTCTTCTAATGTAAGTAAATCAGAAAGTAGAAATGAAAGGATAACATCAGCTATCTTTAGGACAGGATTTAGAAATGTAAGGGGGACATACTTGTGTACTGGGGGTTTTCTAGGTGGGAATGTGGCCAGCACTGCAGTCTTTGACTTACAGAAGTGGAGAGCTATGTATTAGACTACATGGTCTGGATTCAGTTGTATCTCCTACCTAAAAGATGGCACTTGTGACTGCCCAGTGTCTCCTCACTGCATCCTGTGGCAGCTTTTTCCAAAGCTGACTCAAGAAGTACTGATAACAGATTTGTCTGAATCAAGTAACTTGTTCTTTTTTGGAGGTACAGTGTCAAAGTACAGTCATATCCTGACTCTGCTTAGTCTTTGTTTCACATATCATTATCTCTTTCAGTAAGCAGTATCCTTTTCTGGAAAATTTCCGCTTAAACTCACATTATGCTGAACTGAAAGAAAAAAAAAATAGCTGAAAGTATTGACTGGAAATAGAACTTCAGCAACGTGTTCTGGTGTTTGCTTTTCTAGTGAACATCAACTGTTTTGACCACTGGAGCTAAGAAGGAGAAGAAAATAAGACTGTTTCTGATTTCTTTGCAAAGTGCACATCATTGTTGCTCTGTGTTTTTGGGAAATTTTGGAATCAAGACAATTTATTTAGGTTGCTTGCCATTAATAGCTGGTGTATCAACTAGTATGTATCTATTCAGTCTTCCCTGAGATAGGTACAAGATTTGAAGGGAGAATAAAAAAAGCAACGAGTTCTTAGGTTGTTTTGCTTGGCAAATGAAGACTGTGTGATCACAGTGCATGTATGTATGTTCCTCATACACAGTATGTATGTTCCTAATACACAGTTAACCTGACAACACTGAAATTATTACTGAGTGCTGTCTGACAGTGTAGGACAGGGAAAGCCTCTCTGATTCTCTGAAATGCTCTTGTTTCTGTATCTGCATCCCTCCAGAGTTTACCATTTTCAGCTGGGTGATGACAATAACAGTTGTGGCGTTGCAGCGTAAGGAGTAAGGAAAAGCAAAATTTGAAAGTGTAAAGAAAGGGACAGAAAATAAATAATCAAGGTGTTCTGGGCTCTTGGGTCAGAGGGAATTACTTTCATTCAGGAAGAATGCCCTATTTCTATAGTTTAGGTTCAGAGCTCCTGATAATAGTGGCAGGGTTTGTTGAAATTGGAAAATCAATCTGCCTACACTGGGATTAATCTTAGGTAAAACTAAGTAACTTACACCGAGAGAAGCAGCTGAGCCCATCCCAGCAGGTTCCTTGCTTGGTAAATAACATGTAGACCTATTGACACAGTAGGTGATAAATGTTTGATTGATTCAGTTGAAGGTAATGGTTGAAAACAGTTTGAATGAATTATGCTCCAGAAATGTCTGGTTTGCTTTTGTAAATGGCATCTGCATGCCTGGTATGATTCTTATTATCTGCATTGTATTTCTTAAAAGTTGTGGAACCAGCTTTTAGAATTGTACTCCAGCAGGAAGGAAAACAACAATGAACTCATCAGTCTGCATCATTCTTAGCCATCTTTCTATATCCTGCTTCCAGCACAAGACAGCACCTACTGAAAGTGATAGAATCAGGAATTCAGAAGAAGTAGCCTAGAAGTGAGTCAGTTGTCCTGTCTAGAGTGGAATTAACATGACCTGTTTCTTTTGTGATAGACACTTGTCAAGTGTGCCCCTTAAAATCTTCTGATAATGGGGATTCTGTAACCTCTGCAGAATTTCTGTTCCAGTATTGAACTCTCCTAGATTTTTTCTCAGCTGTCTCACCAGAGATTTCCTTGCTCTAAAAGAAGCCCATTGCTGCTTCTCTTATCTGCTGTGAACATGGAAAACAGATGATTGCTTTTTTCGTAGGAAATGTCTGTGGACTGTCATAAGCGCCATCAATTTTTTCTTCTTTAAGTTGAACAATTAGTTCTGCCTTTCATTGGTTTGAAACCTGTCCTTCTTCAGCATGCTCCTTCTTTATATCATCTCTCTTCTCTGTTTTATATATTTTTTAGGAAGAGGCATTGCATATCTCTGGCAGTTAAGAAAAGTAAGTTAATTAGAGATCCGTCAAAGAGCAAAATAAGCAGTCAGCACCATATATTACAGTTTCTCATCTCTTTCTTGATGTACAGATGGTTTTCGTATTAAGCACACTGCTTATCACATGAAGTACAGAATCAATAGACACCACCTCTGTCATAATTCCTAGCAGTCATCTCCACTTCTGACCTAATTGATAGATTGGATGGTCGCATACACTTCCATGAAGAGAAGTACAGATAGGGCATGAAAATGCGTGAGAATGACCACAGCATTAAGAAGTAAATATTCCTTTTTTGTCAAACAACCAGCGATGATTTTCTTTTCATAGGAAGGTTTTGTGGGAAGTGTAAGCACAGAAAAATTTTATTAATGAAGCACACCATTACATCAGCCAGCCTGTAAGGGAAAAAATTCCATGGTGTAGAATGTGGCAGTGACTGCTTCAGGCATTGTTAGCTTGCAGCTCTGGAAACTTTCCCAGAAATCCTAGGCTTTCTTTAACTGGTGGTGGTTTAGTTTTCTAAGAAGAAAAGAAGTTAGAGGATGCTTTTCTATAACCCTCAGCTTCATGTTGTCAGAGATTAGGATTTAAGAACTATACTCAAGAAAATATTTGCAATCAGCTATTATTTAGGCACCTAAGTAGGATCTGGCAATGTAAGTAACCCAAGAGATTGCCCCTAAATGAAAACATCTTGGTTTATACAGAGGTTTCTTTCATAGCACTATAAAAATGCAACAGTTTTTGGCAATATCAAAATTAAATTTAAAAAAATGCTTTACTTTTATGTTTAGTTAATGTTGGCTGTGTGCCTTCTGCGACTTAAGATTGCAGTTTATCTCCTAAGTGTGACAGAATTCATCACCTTGGAGATGCATCATGCAAAAAAGCTTCAATCTAGACTGACCAAAGCCAGTATCTGCCTCCAAACAGAACGTAACCAACATAAAATGACTGGGTGTAGAAAAAGCTTCAGATCCCTTGTCAAGAACACATGTTATGTCTATGGAAACAATGACGAAAATGACTCTTTTTTAGGGGAAAATTAAGACTGGAATCTTTGAAACCTAATTTCACTCTGACTTTGCTGGCCTGTGTTCGTCCTCAGCTCAACATATTGGTGCCAGCAGTTTTACTGCATCGTCTTGCCAGAAGCAGACGGCTTGCCAGGAAAATCTGAGCCCTGCGATGTCCGCACACGTGTGTGTGCTGGGAGGCATGCACACGCATCTCATTCAGTAACTGCGGTTAGGGTCAGGAGTATCATGTTTATCCCTGTTAATAACTGTCAGGTTTCTGTAACCTTCATTACTCTGTCCTTCCTAAAGGGGGGAGAAAGGGGAAATTGGTTGTAGGATTTATAGGACAAAGACTGATGTGTTAAGCAGCTTTTGGCTGGACTTAGGAGAGGAGGGTATGCTGGCTGACTTACTCTGCCCTCATCAAAAAGTCGTGCTTTGGCAATTGGAAAATAATGGTGGGTTCTAGGGACTTTGAGATACAACTTTGCTTTCAACAGAGGCATAAATATAAAGTGTTCCAGCACAGTGTGATATTTTCAAATGTCATCAACTGCTGGGCCTTAGAGACATACTCTGTGTATGAGGCAGAAACAAAGGCAGGAAGGGACTAGTCCTCTGGTTGTATATTCCACTTACGCTAATTGTTCAGAGCAGGCAGAGTGAAAACTGCTTGCTTCCCCGTGGATCTGCATCCAGTGCCGCCTTTACTCTTCTACTTCAAGATCCCCAGTGTCATCCCCCCACTATCATCACATCTTAGCACTGTACCCTGAGCTCCTTCCCACTTGGTTCGTCCCTGCTTATCTTCATCCCCTCTCACTTCTCACTGCAGGGAAATTAGTGGGGCATTCCTTTAA